GTATGGATGTGAAGAACTAGTGTGCTTCCAAAAATACTACTACTACTAATACTACTAATAATAATCAAGATGCCAGCCAGAGGGATTTAGTTCTATTCTATAAAAATAGATGGTAGCTGAAATGACAAGAAAAGAAAGAATGACATGAAGATGAACATTATAGCCTATGAATTCAGACACTCAGCATTTCTACTTTGTTGCTCTGAAGTGGAAGGCAAGTGTTCAGCAGTGAAAGTCACAGCACAGCAACACAAGATGGAAGCAATGCCACTCCCCAACATTACAGGGTATTTTTGTTTGTTACTACGTGTAGGAAGACATGGACATGCAGAAACATCATAGAGGATTGCTTGCTTGGAGAACAGCTTGAGCAGAAAAACAGAAAAAAAACACTGTTCTGTTGAATAACAACACAACTGTTTTCTCTTGATTCATTTAGCAACACGCAGACCAAAAATATTTCCGTTATTTCATGCTTGGGAGACCAAAAATCAGATAATACTCAGGAGTAACATGGGGCTTTGTTCATACAAATTAATTTCTCCTACTGGCTGGCTGGTGATATGAAAATACTTGTTTCACCTTTTGCTCAGTGCATCTAAATATATTCAAAAGACTTCCAGTTCCCTTCTCCCATTTAGATTTCCTTATTTCCTTTAAGATATGCATCAATACGATAACCCATCCAACCTCAGCAAAGTGATTAAGTATATCCAACCACCGCGCAAACAAGTCTGACCTCCATAATTTATCCACCATTACTCACACCTCCTCCTTACCCACACCTGTGTATGTATGCACAGGGTCATGTGCAAAGTTCGAAAACTTACGTTCTAAAAACACTTTTCCTTAGCCCAGCACAAGTTCAGGTGCCTAAAGACCATCAGATACCTGATGCATCTGCCTGCCTGCCGTGCAAAAGAACAACACAGATTGGATACTGATACACTTTGCAGAACTGCAGCAAGGCCATACAGAAAAATTAAATTCTCTTTTTTTTTTTTAAGCAAAGAAATCTGCCACCACCTCAAACTCTGAAAGTGTAATTGCAGACTCTGCTCTAAATGGCCCAGCAGCTCCAAGAAATGGAATGGCATGCCAAACAACACTATCACCCTTAAGGTGAGCATTATTTCAACTTTGAAATCCCTGAAACTAACACATGCTCTGAAAATGTGATGTTCTCTGTAATAGTAACAGGTAGATACAACTGATGGTTTCTTAATAAACCAGATGGACTTCCAAGTACTCAGCACACAGCAAACAGCCCAGCGGACTTGTCATGGAGATAAAATCCCTCACAGCAGTATTTTCAGGCAGTGAATACGGTATAAATTCTCAAATAGAGGTCTAAAGATGTCATATGTGAATAATCTATGAAGGACCGACTCAGCCCTCCTGACAATAACAGATTCACAGGCAAAATTATCTTCAAAATCACACTGGGATTTTTTTTCAGGAAGGAGTTGAGGAATAAAGATTGGGAACACTTGCATTCTTCTTTCCCCCTTCTGAATCTATTACAGACGAATGTCAGTCTTCAGCAATCAATCACAACACCATTCACGGGCTTTGAATTGATATAAGAAGCACCAAAAGTTATTTTTAAAGGGCAACGTGGTGTCAAACTCTGCAGGTTTCACCACAAGGAAATAATGAAATGCCCAGGCCACAAGGGAGGATATTTATGCCTTGCTGATGCTCCACCTTTCTTCTGGCAATAAGACAAAGCCTACAAAAGTATGCCCAAGTTCATATTATTTTTATTAGTTCATATGAAAGTATCTTGGTTCTTATCTGTAGTTTGTTAACAATGTCAAGTTCACAACCATTAGTTTTATAAACAACCACATTTAAGTTACTGATCGTGAGCACAAGGAAACATCAGAAACGTCTCACTGTTGAAAGTGACTTTGGATTTAGTGCACCCGTATTTCACATGAGAGGAACAACAGTGAATCTTTTCTGAAATATTCTACAATATTACTCTAAAAATGATCTTGCAAATCGTACTCTGTATCGTAAATCTGTATGCTGCTCAGACTAGAGCAGAATGAAATAACACAACGCAGTCACATAACTATCTTTTGGGAGATACTGTTACCAATCACACCCTCACACATACTCCAATTCATCTCCCTAGCATCTAAGAGAAAATATGAAGAATAATTGCTATGTACTGAAGGTGTTCTTTTGTTGTTGTTGCTTCTTTACTTTCACATTTGGAAGGATTATATTGAAAACTTGGGGCACCACAGAGCAGAAACTGGCTGCCTGGAGTACTGTCAAGAGATGAGAGGTCTACCTACTCCTGCACAGTGACAGATCAGAGGCTTTATGAGCTACTGTGAGCAGTATCTATTTCAGACCATTTTCAAGAGCCCTTTCTGAAACACCCCAGGCAGGCTGAGTGGTCAGGTGGAAAAGGGAATGGATCGAGGAAAGCATGGCCATGCCTACAAGAGAGGCCAGGAGAGCAGACATCCTACAGACATCCTTTTAGCATGCTGGGCATCTTTCCCATCATGTGGAATCCCTCCACCCACCTCGCACAGCCTCAACACTCAGCACCAGTGTTGCCTGAATCTGAATCTGTATCTTCACTAATGCCTTGGTAAGTGAATGAGAAATGGCAATCAGACTAAGAGGGGATGGAAGCACTCAAGGTTTGCATCAAGATTTAAAAGCATTTTAAAAGTCAATCTGATGACAACAAGTAGAGACAAATACAAGATACTATACTTGTGAAGGAAAAATAAACTGAAAGCATAAAACAAATAACCAGACAAGAAAAAGAGAGTATATTAACTCTCAGGATGAATATGAGAGAAAAATCTACGAAAAAGCAAAGAAACACCTCATCCTTGTGTGTTAAGTGTCACCAACAGTTCATGGCACATTATTATTCTAATTGGTTGGATGGTGTTGAAGCCTCTGAGGGAGCGCTACCTACTTTTGGATATTGTAAGCGTGCAGAACAGGCTGAAAGAAAAGGGAATTGGTTGGGAAAATCTGATACAAGGTCAAATTTGTTGGATTTCATGAGGTTAGACTAAGAGCAGGCTATATTTATACAGCAAAAGGAATTCATTCATTGTTCAGCTATCACAGCTAATAAAAAGCTAAATATCCCCCCTGAGATATTTTAGGGGAGGACTCCTCCCCTGTCACACACATACACCTCTGCTCTGGTTTTCTGTGTCAATGGACAGGGCTCTGTAAAGGAAGTCACCTCATCATTTGGATGTGGCATAAATATTACACTGCAAACGTGCACCATAGGCCACAATGCAATTAAAGAAACTAGACTGAAAAATTAGGAAAACTTTATAGATTTTTTTTCTTATAATAGATGCATTTGCTGAAAAAGACACTATTCTCTGAACGAGGTTAAAGTATAGCAAATTGGCTTCAAGAAAAATTGCAAGACTTTCAATAAAAAGACGAAATAGCAACACTCTTAAGACAGCAGGTGGCAAAACGAGATACAGGAACGTTCCCCCATATAAAGAAATAAAACAAAACAGAGCTCTGTGATTTTACTGCCATTTTCCAACACAACAATATCCCTAAAGGACTCAGAAAATAGGCTTCTAAATTTGTTCATATGGAGTACCAGAGATTAAAAGGGAAATGTTGAAGCCTGCTTCTCAGAACAACTAGAACAGGGGTGGTGCTCAGCAGAAATAGATAGTTTGCTTTAAACTAATAGTGCAACTTGGGAAAAAGCTGTGACATAGATGGAGCACTAATTGAGATAGGATACTTCATTAAACTAAACAAGTTTACACGTGAGTAATCTGTTCCTGAACCCTTAGTGAGACGCCTTCAAAAAGCACTAGGAACTCATCCGTGGGATGTACAAAGCCCATTCACTTCTGAGAGAAGCAATTATTTGTTTTTAAAATACCACTCAGAGGGAAAAAAGAAGTGTCTTGTGAAAACTCAAGGGAAATCCTAAAGAGCTTACAGGAAGGTAACGGCTGCTGGGTATTTTACAGAGCAGCCCAGATCCTCCTAGGTAAACTACAGCTAATTTTATCATAAGCAGTTTAATTCACATGCTCAGCTGAAGAGAACGGAGGATGGAGGAGTGCCTGGCATTCCTGCTATCTTCAGGTAAGGCAGTGCTGTCTCTGAGAGGCAGTTTGTTCTCTTGTGCTGATGCCTTTCAACACATGTTTTCCAAAGCAAAAGACAGCAGTGGAGTACAGGCCTCTAAGTCACGTTTCAGCAGCCAGAGAGAGATCTGCAGCTAGGTGCCCCATTTCAGCCCTGGAGAGCCGGTAAGAATGGGATCCAGCCCAGGATTAGTCACAAAATTAGTCACAGATGTTTTCTACAAAGCCATCATCCCGTTCCACAAGTTCCATCTGTATAGCTTCCTGCCCCTAAGTCCTCCATTCTGGAAATGGAAACTGCCCACCTACAGCTGGTGGCATCCCACTAAACCAGAGGGACTCTGCCAGCCTCCATCACCTCCTGTCTCTGCAACAAGCTGGGAGCAGCAGCTGGCTTTTAACACTGAGATGTGAGGAGCCTGGCTGGATCTGGGTTTGGAACAAATGATCTGCCAGCATTAGTTCAGGCATTCCTACCATATAGTTACAACAAAGGCTTGTCCCTCATAGAAACAAGGGCAGGAGATGGAGGCCTGCAGCCTTGTTCACGCTTGCTGAGCTCACATCACAGCACATAGCTTTATAAACTGAAACTCCAGTATTGCTGAGGCTCCTGAGGCGATGCTGAAAGGGCAGTAACCCCATGCAATGCCATCAGCAACCATTCCTGGAGGTGAGCAGCGGGATGCATTTATAGGAGGAAACGTGAAAGGCAGAATCAACAGCCAAGTTGGCCATGTAGCCAGCGTTCACTTTCAACAGCTCCGTTATCAGATGAGAATAAAAGATGAGTGAAACCTGGGGAAGAAGGAGAGGAAAATGCTGCAAATAAAATAAAAAAAAAAAAAAAAAAAAAAAAAAGGAATAAGAACCACCCACCTGACAGGGGCTCCCCGGGACTGAGCAGGCTTCAGCATGACAGTGATGGTGGTGTCTGTCTCATTCAAGGGCGAGTCCGTGTCGTACTCTGGCATCGATGGTGCTATAGCAGAACAAAGAGCAACACGTTACTGAGACACCAGTTGCTGCCTCTGGTAGTGATGGCAACATGCTAGTAACATTTCTTGGAGACCGTTTAACATTTCTCGACTGAAACATCAAAATACTTTCTCAATGTTATGATCAAAATTGTCATAACTGCTTAAAAAATTTGTACACTCATTTCCTATTAAAATTAAACAGGACACCCAAATCTTCAAGCTGGCTTTGAAAATCCTGCCTTGAATTTTTAAGACTTAGCAGTCCTTTGGGATGGGATTATTTCTTCAAAATTAAAAGTAGATTAACTGCATGGACATTGAAAGATGCCATCTGAGACCTGTGAATCAGTGGCAGGGCTGAAAGCTGCACCCAGGAACCCATCTCTTGTTCACTATTTGTGCCAATGGATCAGAGTTCTCACATCTTAGAGAATTTTTAATGCACATGTGTGAGCTCTGTCTCCTGGATTAGCTGGAAGGTACATTATGAAGTGGGAAGGCATCAAAAGAGAAGAGCGTGGAATTATTTGAGCACTCAAATGGGTATTCAAGCCCAGTGCTTTAGTGGTGTGTCCACCAGCGCGTGTTGAGGGCAGTGACCAACCACAGTATCCATCACTCCAGCAGTGGTGTGATGTGGGAAACCGCTGACCACTCACACGTAGCCACAGTCCTCTTCCTACTTCTGCCTTATTTCCTTCTGCTAGGGTCATTTCATCAAGGTGGGAGAGGTTTCCCTAGGAAACACAGCCTACTCATTATGTTAAGTCTTCCTTCCCCTGTAGCAGACATCCCTTAGGGACAAAAAAAACCCAGAAGAATCTGAGCAGCATTGTATTTATTCCAAAGAGGTAAGCTTTGTTGAAATTTCCCTAACTATAAAGCAAATAGAAGAATTTACATGAAGAACATAGTCCCACTCAGTTCATCTACAACTCTCAAGGGCAAGCTGCATTGTGGGGGTCCCACATTTAATCCTCTCACAGCGATTTCCACAGTAATCCTGTTTACAATCAGGATTTTTATCTAAATGCCTGAAAACTGTTAAGCATGGTGTTTCCTATTATCAGCTCAGCAACTGACTTCCCTATCCATAAGCTGGCAGCGAGTTCAGAACGAATGGCAGTTCCTTAGCAGGGATTCCTCTGCAGAAGGTGCTGTGCATTGAGGAAAGCAGTATGAGTCACTTAAAGATGCAGGGCACCAGCAGTACCCAGTAGCTGACAGCACTGTATTCACTGGAAATGCCACAGTCAGAACTGTGCTGCTCCTGTACTTGGCAGAGGGGACACTGCAGTGTTGCAGGGCTCCCTGGGCACCATGAGCAGGTTGGGCTGTACCTCTGCAGGCCCTGTTTTGCTGCAGCTTCCATTGGCCTAGTTGAAATGCTGCACTGGTGTGACTGAATGGCCTCTGCTGCGTCAGCCAGCTGGGCTGGTTCCTTCACAGAATGCACCATTTGACTTTCAGATGCCATTTAGTTGAGAAACAAATGGAAGCAACATCGTTTTTGGCAGGAGTAGCTAATGGTATCGAGTACAATTCAGCAACTGCACTGTATTTGTCACAAGATGCTGTAACAGGATATGGCATTTTTGTGTCCTCAACATGGAAGAGGTGGACAGTGCCTCATTAAAATGACTCTTGGCAGTGACCTCTGTAAAGCAGCAAGCACTGCTCACTGATGTGGTGCCTATTTTGCTGAGTCCTGGCCAAAGAGAAGTCCTTGGGAATTCAGGCAACTAGTATTATAAAGTGTGTGATAAATAGTATATGAGCGTGATAAATAAATTAACAAACATCCACCCAGATAAACATACACATTCACACTTTCCTACCGCATAGGATGGCTTTTCATTTTAAAGCCAGCAGTTTCAAAGACAGCCTTACAAAGACATTTTTATAAGTGAAAATAAGTCAATACAAATCTCATTTTTCTCTCTGCTTCCTTTAGGACTGCATCTTAAAGTAAATATAACAGTAACTTCAAAATCCCGTGCAGAGGGCTGACCATACAACAGTACAATTGAATGCCAGAGATACCTGAGTGGGGCCTGTGTCTGTCTACTACAAACAAGAAGTTTAGAGGACAGAGAAACAGAGATGACAAACTGAGCTCAGTGCCCATACATTTAATAACCACGCAGGCTTCTAACAAGATTTGAGCACTCTCTTAAAAATAAAATGAAAAGAAACTGAATAAGAAGAGAAAAGCACCCCCATTCCTGTGCTGTTTTGTTTCTCTGGCCGGAGGTGGGCAGAGCACACACCATGCCTTCCCTCTGCAGGCAGCCTTACAGCCCGTGGCTGTACTCCAGGTGGATGTGACATGAACTTTTGCACTACATCTAAAAGGTTCTAGCTTTGCTGATGGTCAGTGCAGAGAATGGCGATATTTTATTTTCTTAAAATGTTAAACTGTCATTTACTGCTAACAACTTACTAACCAGTTCTGAAAGATAAGGGAAAATATGCAGAGCTGCATATTTCATCATTACAAGCGTCCCAAACACTTGATGTCTCTATGATAGATACTCCAGAAAAATGTCCCTTAGAGAACCTGGCTTAGTGAAATTCTAATATTTAATTCTGCATATGTTCATTCAATGTCATCTCAACCACCACCTTACCCATTTGAGCTGTTGGTAGCCAGACCAAGTTTCCTTGCTTCTACTGTACCCAGGAGCTTTCTCTGCAGTGCCTCCTGATTTCAGTGCCTTTGACATCCTTCTCTGCCTAGCTGAAGCCCTCTTTGTGGCCTTACTCATTAAAGAAGCCATAAATGCAGTTTCTCTTCCTCATTTTCCTCTCTTTCAGCTATTAATTCAATTACTTCACTGCATCCGTTTTTGGTGCGTTCTTGAGATAAAGCCGCATTTTTGAAGGAGCTTCTGTGACCAAGCATATAATTTGAATAATCTGCTGTAGTAAGAGTTCACCTATTGAACTAACAAAGGTTCCCATCTGAAATCCTCCTAAGGCATCCACAAATTAACCCCTGCATTTGTAATCTGAACAAACATAGATAATAGATTGTGGTCCCTATGAAACTTGTGGAGGAGACACCAAGCTGAATAGCTTTTTATTGTTTCGCACATCAGCTGTAGATCTAAAGAACAAAGCCCTGTAAAGTTCCTTTTTTGTCTTCCCAAAGCAATACCTGAAATCTTAGTTGCAATCCGTGTTGTGATGGGTGGCCCAAAGCCCTTCACTGTGCTGGCTTTGATGGTGAATGAATACGTTGTCCCTGGGTATAATCCTACAAAGAGGTGATGTGTTTCATTCCTTAGTTTGAAGACCTTCCCTCTTTGGCTGGCCAGGTCAGCACTGGGATCCAGAGACCCAACGGCCTTGTAAGTAATCTGCAAATGAAGAACAAGGACAGTAAGGTGATAGGAGTCTTCTGCACCCAGCCTCTGTCTGCGCCCCTATTTCACTCCCCTCTTGGAACTCAAGATCCAAAATAAAAGGGCAGATATAAGGGTAGCATCTCCTAGTGAAGTGCCCTGTGTTTGGATGCTGGCAAGTGAACATCACCATTTTTCCAGGCGTTACTTCGGAAGAAGCTAATTTCTTCTCTCCACTAAAATCTCAGCGTTTGCTGACGTTCAAAAGCCACCAAGAATTGCTTTTCATTCCCCACCCCAAACTTCTGCAGCCGAAGCTGAACACAGCACAACTTGCAGAATTTTTTGTGAGAATTTCCCACAGCACAGAGGAACTTTTGGTGCACACAGGGATACATTTTCCATCAAGCAGTTGTTGTTTTCAGGAGGCTTTTAAGAAGAAACAGGAACCTTTTACTGACAACAAAATTGTCTGAATTCTTCTCCTATGCTGAAGACATCGCACCAAAATGAAAGACTGAAATTAAATGACAGGTTCACGAGAAATAAATATCACCAAGCCTTTAGACAATAGTCCCACTCATTTTCCTTGAGCTCACGAGACAGTTGCTGATAGAATTTCCCAGTTTTAGCCCCGGGCTGCAGGCTTACACATGGCACCATGCCTGAGAGCAACCCAGCCAGGCCACAGCCCTGCGTGCTCTGCACTGCTAACACGCCTTCAGGGGAACCCAGGCTGAACATCCTTTGAAATTCTGCTCGAGCTCCATTCTGTTTACCCACGACAGCCCCTCTGATACGCAGACACTTTTGAGGAGAGCTCATGACTTATTTACCAGCCAATTCCTTCCTCACCTTCCAAATTCAATCCAGAGGCAGCTCAATTTCAACTGAGCTGTCAATATAATATAACGCGCTCCGCTGCTCTCCTAACCTTTCCTTATATTATGGGATCCTCACTTATTTGTAATGAAACACTATGAATAAATCAATGTATGTTAATATATGAAGTCTTCAATATTTTATGAAGGACTCCATGAAAATCTAATTCCCAGGTTTGCTGAAAAAGCCTTTGAAAATTTTTAAGTTGCTTGTATTGTGACAGGAGGAAAATGTTCTGTTTAAAGGAAAAATAAACAAGCAATATTTAAAAGATGGGGCTTTAATAGTAACAGAATAAAAAGGAATTATAAATAAGCAGCTTGTAGGTGGTCCCATGGCAAACCTGCTAACTTTTCCAGGAATTACAACCAGCTTTTGAATTTTTATTGCTTGCTAGAAACCTGAGGAAGAGACAGCACTTGGCGCAGTGATCATTAAAACAAGGCAATTAAGTGCTGGAGGAGAAATGTTTAGTCCTGCTCCTTGTCCTCAGGCATGGTGAGGTGCACACAAGGCACTGCTGTGGCACTTAGAGGGAACAGCACCTGTGCACCTCCACCAGCAGAACCTGAATGGGGTCAAAGACCTTAAACACAGAGATGCAAGCCAGCCAAGGCCCCAGCAAACTTCAGTATGAAAAATGCATGCACTGTGTTTGTTAGGAATGAACTGATGCAGTTTATATGCTCTATTTGTAAAAAGAGTGTTAGAGAAGTGAGAATTGTGTATGCTTCTGCAGGAGAAGGAAATAATGAGGAATTTGGGAAACGGTGAGGAACATCACAAGGGCACCAGGCACCACGCTCACGGGACATCCTGTGCAAAACCACAGCTGTTTGTTTCCAACACACTGCACAGAAGGTCATAAAGGAAAGTGGAAGATAAAACTATCCTTGATCTGCATTTAAATAAATGCATTCACTTACCTTTACTAGTTCTAAAGTTACTACAAAATGAAATATTTTTCCTACATCAATATACATGCATATCCCCTAAAGGCAAATGGGTAAAAATGTTTTTGAGAGAGAAAAAGAAGAACAATAATAAGGAAAATCACTGCTATTAAAAAAAAAAAAAAAAAAAAAAGAGGGGGAGGCTTGCTGCTCACTAAATGAGCACAAGGAATCTTAAACCAGCATGGGTTCAACTCATAAAAAGTGGGAAGGAGAAAGCAGCACTTCAGAGAACACATCCAAGATTATTTGAGGTTACAGCTTGGGCCGATTTTCAGAAAGACTGTTCACTTACATCAGTCATTTCCCCAGATGAGTTTTTTTAAGGATATGTAAACTGTGGTAAAGACACACACCTGACATAACCAAAGTGCAAGACGGTTACTGCAGCAGACACCATTCACATTACTGTGGATCTTACTAACCCAGGTGAGAAAGAACAATCCCTGTCCCCAAAACGTGACACTTAATTTTAATGTGGAAACAGGGAGAAGGGAAACAAAAAGCAGTAGTACAAAACTTAACCAAAACAGTGGTGATGCAGTGGCACAGCTGCCCATGGAGGTAGTGGGGTCACCATCCCAGGAGGTGCTCCAGATCTGTGGGGATGTGGACTGAGGGACAGTGGGCATGGTGGGATGGGTTGGGGCTGGACTCGGCGATCTTAGTGGCCTTTTCCAACATCACTAAGTACATGATTATATGATTTTATTGCTCATACAAGAGTAACTCTCAAGCTCTTCTCTGCTGCCCACAGTAAGAATGATGTGGTTAGGGAGGTACTGAGGGCCAGAATGCAGCTGAGCTCCCAGCTCTGCTGATGGCCTCCTTCACAACCATGTTCTCTGAGCCTCTGTTCTGCCATTTATGAAATGAAGGCTATTACACTCCTCTGCACGAACATTTTTGAGGTTGAGGGCTTCTATGCATTTCCATCAGCTGAGTGCTGATGGTTAAGCAGCAAAATCTCAGGTGAAATGTGAAGTGGTCCCAAAAACAGAGCACTATTTGGAAAAGGAGGTGAATTCTCTTCCAGCTCAGAATAAAACAGAATCATTTTCCCTTCTACAGCAGCCAGCCAGGCTGCTTGCTGCTGGCCACCCCCCAGCCCCACTGCTCAGCCCCCAGGCTCATCGTGCCTTTCTCATGGCCAGAACAATCTGTAACTGTGGAAGCTTTGGTATTTCTTCACCAAAAGCATCTGCAACGTGCTACAGCATGTATCTGTGTTTCCTTACAGAACGAAAAGATGCTGTAACAAATCAGTGACAAATTGGGCATCATGTATAAGTAAGTGGATGGAGTTGGTCTGTTTGTTTTTGTAAACTGTACGTGCATCACCACTACTTTTCTGAAGGCATCACTGTAGATCTGCCCATGAATAAATCCATCAGCAAAGCATCCTGATGCGAAAAGCTTCTACAGGCACTGACTGAGTTCTCATCCCCACGTTTCTCTAAGGAGTCTTCCCTGTGGATGGAAGAAAACAACGCGACAACACACTGCATTCCCATCCCAAATCCAGAGAGTTTGTCAGCTCAGTGCTGGCTCACGTTGTGCACCGCCATGTGTCAGAGGCTGACAGGGCACAGCTGAGGATCATCAGCTGATGGCAAAGTGAGAAGATGCCGCTCTTCCTCTGAGCTGATATAAAGTTTTGAAGGAGGAGAAGTTTCAGGGAATCAAATGCAGAACATTTTTCAATAAGGAAATTTCTGACTCTATAGAGTCATCTAAAAACGCATTGAAACGTGTGGAGAAGAAATACGGCATTTCCTAGAATAAGAAGGCTGCTGAAATAAGCACCTGCTTTCATTGCTGGTATGCTAACTATTTATCTTCATTTCTTGTTCCAAGTGTCAAACCATTTCATTACAAAATAAACAAGAGATTCTAATCTAAGAAAATGATATGACTCAATCACCAGACAACAGCTGCTCCAAATTATTTTAAAATAATCTATTTTAAAGACAAGTCGTGTCATATAACACTTGTATATTCTGAAAAAAAAAACAAAAAATGAGACAATAAAATTAAACATTTAAAAACCTAGACAGAAAACAAACAACAAGAGGCTTAAAAAGAAGAATTTCACTTTGATTGAAAATATTGAAAATATTTGTTTTGACTCTGATGCAGAATAAATGCAGACACAAAGAGGAGGAAACGTCTCACAAGACTGAAGCTGTATGTTTTTTAACCAGCTCCCTGGTTATCTCCCGCACGGCAGACAGCTGCTGTCCTCTGAAAGCTGCCCCTCCCTGCACACTGCTGTGGCTGTCCTGCATTTGCAGACATTATTTGGAAATTACATTTCGGCTCCAAGGTGACTCAGCGGTCCCAAGGAAAAGTTTTAGTGGCCAACAAAGCTGCTGTTCTGATCACAGCAAGTGCCAGTCCAGGTTACTGCACAGCAAGACTATGAAACAAAGAGATCCTAAATCTTCCTTCCATTTTCTTCATTAAGAAATGTGTCTTAAATTAAAGCACCGGGAGTAGTACATTGGAAGTAATCAAAAAGATCAAAAAGCAGAGGGACTCAGGGAGATAAGCAAGAGCCATGCCCCCAGCACAGCAGGAGGATGAGTGACATCCCCGGGGTGCAGAGAATGCACTCCAGACTTTGCTCAGTTCAGTGTCCATCTGAACTGCCAAATCCAGCCAGGCAAGTCCAAATTCCTCATGGATAAAATGTAGAACAGGTCAAGAGAACAAATTCTTTCTGATACTTTCTAGTAAGCTACTAACCCCTACAGGGGTTAGTTGATTTCCAAGTGTTTAGTGACATATCTGCTGTGATAGACTATGGAGAATAAACCACAACAGGTCAGTGTCAGAAATAGGATGGTTATTGAGTTCACTCCTTGTTGTTTAAGCAGACATCCAACCCACACCAGTGCAACCAGTCCCACCAACCAGCAGCTCTCCTGTTTACTCCATCCTACTCTGAGTTTTATACAATTTAAAGTTCAGAACAGCAACCCCTTGAAATCACTGACCAAACACCATGTTAACAGCCACAAAATGAAGACATAACACTGAGAGCAGGAGCACAGCTCCGCTCTCCTTCACAGCGCCTAATTTAACACAATTTGATGGGGGAAAGTGAATGCTTTACCAGCTGTCATCATCTCTGACTGTAAAACTTTCTATTACGATGTAAGACTTCCATTGTCAAAG